CGCTGTAGGGTATAAAGCCGCCGGTGCTGTGGCTTGCTGGCTTTGAGTGGCCTGGCTGCCCTTGGTCACTCCCTCCTCCGCCCCAGGGGCAGGTGAGGTTGTTTGGGGTGGGGCCTTGCTCTGGGTAAATGGGCAGGCTCAGGGGGAAAGCGGAGGAGCCCTGGGCCGAGAGCTAGGCTGGGGGCTCTCTAGGCTGTACAAGTGGGCGGAGGAATGGGTCTTGGACCCGGTGTTGGAGGAAGTAGAGCAGAGAGAAGGATCCTGGCCTCCAGAGACTAGCGGTGCAGGGATGGGACCGGCAGAGGAACAGCACAGCTTTCTGTTCAGGGGATGTGCAAAGTGCTGATGCTGATGTGTTAGTTGGCGGTTGGTTAATGGGTGAGTGGGAACGAGTGCCAAGGGAGGGGGCTGAGCTGAGAGGTGTGGAGACAACCCTCCTCCGCCCAGAGGACAAAGAATCAGAGCTTGATACACATCCCACCCAACCCGGGCTGGTCCTAAATAGGACCATTGTGAGGATTGATTAAGACAGTGAATGAAAAAGCATCTTACCTGGACTGAGATCTCAGTGAGCTAGGTTTTGTTTGTTTGTTTTGTTTGTTTATTTATTTATTTATTTATTTATTTATTTATTTATTTTTACAGTTTAGTCTTTCTTTCTTTCTTTCTTTCTTTCTTTCTTTCTTTCTTTCTTTCTTTCTTTCTTCTTTCTTTCTTGGTTTTATTTATTTATTCATGAGAGACAGATTGAGAGAGAGAAAGGCAGAGACACAGGCAGAGGGAGGAGCAGGCTCCATGCAGGGAGCCCGACGCGGGACTCGATCCCAGGTCCCCAGGATCATGCCTTGGGTCAAAGGCAGGCTCTAAACCGCAGAGCCCCCCAGGCTGCCCTGAACTGGGGTTTTGATTGCGATCATGCTTATAAATCTTCCTGGGAGCAATGTCCTCATTTCCAGTCAGGTTGTGTATAAGGAGACCCCTAGCGGGATTCCAGGTTCAAAAACCTTTGGAGGAGAAAGCTGTTCCCAGGCCCCCACGAACTGGGGGGGTGGGGGGACCGCGTACCTCCACTCTGGCCCCACCGTGGAGCTGGGAATCAGCTCCACCTGGGCCAACAGCGAGGGCGTGAGAACTTCCAGCTCAGTGTGCAGGAGTGGCCGCTGGGTCGGTACACCCCGCTCTCAGGACAGGAGGGTGGCTTGAGACCTTTGGGGGTGGCGGACACCCCCGGGGACAGAGGCCACAGTAGCTTCAGAGGTGCAGGTGGAGCCCTTGCGCCTGGGGTGGTGCCGGGGTGGTGATGGGGCCTGGCTGTGGGGTGGATGGGAAGTCGGGTAGGCCTTCTTCCCTAAGGTTGGGGCGGGGGGCGGGGGGGAGGCTTGGCTGTTGTCTCCCCGGGTTCTAGCATCCCAGAGCTTGGATGCAGGAATATGGACCATACGGAGGAATCACTGGTTGTTCCAAATGAACGAGGCAGGAAGCTGGTCCTGGAAATGAGCCTTCCTGGTGCGTCCAGTCTCCAGGAAAACAGCCTCTGGGGCTCCCGGACAGGCACGGGTGTGGGATGCTCCAGCCCTCAGGGTGGCTCAGGGGACCACAACAGGGACCTCCAGTCTTGGGACCTGACTCCCCTGGGGGACAGCGCGGATGCGGGTGGGCGTTCTAGCATACGGCCGTCTTGGAGAGCGCGGGGAGCTTGAGCATCTCATGAGAGAGGGGAGGCCCTAAGCCTTTCAAGGGGGGGATGGAGGGAAAGCCTGAGTCTGAGCCGGGCAAGGCCCAAGTGAAGAAAGGCAGAGGCCCGAGAGCTGGGCGGGAGGGCTGCTGAGCAGTGACTCAGCACCTGGCCAGCGAGCCAGGCACCCGCAGAGCCCTGTGTGGGCCGCAGGCACAGGGCGGGGGCGCCCCAGTGGAGTCAGGGTGACTGTCCTGCTGAGTGTCCCCAGAACAGCACAGCGAGACGCCCGTGAGGAAAGTCCCTCCTACCTCTCCCGTCCACCCCCCAGGCCCCAGGTCCTCTTGAGCAGACGGAGTTTCCAGGGGTTCTTACGGGGACAGGGCTCTTGAACCGAGATGAAAAAGTCCACTGAGCCGGGGCGGGGGGGGGGGTGGTGGTGGCCTCCTGAGCTCCCCACAGCTGACCATTCACGTGGCGCCCTTCTCAAGTGGTGCCAGCTGCTGGAAGGAAGTGAATTCTTTCCCGGGGACCTGCTGATCTGGCCCATTGTAAGCCTTGCCCTGATTTGTCTGAATTCTCTCCCTTTGGACTCTGGGTGTCCTGCCAGGCTGACCGGGCAGGCAGCTGACCGAGCCTTCCTCCCGGCCTAAAAATTCCCCCCTTGAGTTCTTTGCATTCAGGTTCCAAGGGAGCATCGTTTTCGAGAACAATCCACTGGATCAAAGGCCTGCCTTCCTGGCCACACTGGAGGCCCCGGAGGCAACTCGAGGCTGCCTCAGGACCTGGTTAACCTTGACCTGACTCCTCTTTGATGTGCAGAACACAGGCTCATAGCAATGATGTCAGCTAGGAAACTGTCAGCCACATAAATGCCCTGACACCCCGGTCCGAGGGGCGGCCCCGCTGAAACCCAGATTAAGCACGTCCCAGGGAGACTGCTCCAGCCAAGGGGGCACGGAACACTGTCACTGTTTATCTAACCACCGTGTGTTGCTGGTATGTGTCATTCCGTACCAAGTGCTTTACCAAAATCAACATATTCGAGTCTTAGAGCTGTTCTGTGAGGCGGACTCCATTGTTATGACACTTTCATAAACAAGGAAACTGAGGCACAGAAGGTCAGATAACTCGCCCAAGGTCTTCTAGCTAGAAAGCAGCAGGACCAGAATTCCAGCCCCAAGCAGTTTTGGCATCGGAGTCCAGGTTCTCAAGCCCCCCCGGCCTGCTGTGCCACCCTGATTACTACTGTGTAAACCGTAACCCCACCGCCCAAGCCAGTTTAACTAATCCCGTGTCCTTAATATTCACCTCCCACCCCATCCAGGCTTAAGTTGAGGTTCCGGACCTGTGTGGAATCACCACCAGAACCGAGTCCCAAAGCAAAAGTGGGATTATTTTCCTTCTCCTAATCCTGACACACTCTTCAACCCGGAGGTTGTCTTAAACCTACCCCCCCCCCCAATCCCATTCCTCCGCTAAGCATTGGTGCAAAATTGTTACTTCATCAATACATTTAACGAAAGCCCAAATCCCAACCTCAACTCTCAATCTAAAGCAAATTAGGTTTCGGTTTCTGCGTTTGTTACAAGTTCCGACGCTCGTGGCAACCCTGACTCCGGTCTTGACATCCTCCGTAGCCCACAGCCTGGCCCCTAAACCCAGCCTTCCGAGATCCAAACCTCAGGAACCTCAAGTGGAAACAAAGACTCTGTAATTACCCTTAAAGCTCAAAGTGGAAGGAAAGGGCCCCCGAAGCCAGCTGTCGCTCTGGCGTGCTCCCGACGCTGTCTTTGCTGGGGTGGGCATTTGTGTTTTTAGGAGTGGTAGTGGATTTGTACCATTTCTTTCAAAAGCTTTTTTGTCCATGCCCCCTTGGGACCAAACATTTGCTTCTGTGAGCCACGTGGCTGGAGTAAGGGTTGTGGTCTGTGGTTACACAAGGGATCCGATTCCAGAATCCAGTTCTCACCCATACTCGCCTCATGCCCTACCCAAGCATAAACTAATTCAAATGCATGCCAAAGACTAGAGGAAACAGAAAGTCGGGACCCGGGGCACACAGGGTGCAGGGGAGACCCGACGAAGGGGAACAAAGAACAAACCAGCAGAAGACCTGAAAGGGACAGGATGAGAGGAGGGGTGTCGCAGGGGAGAGGGCAGGAGGGATCACTGAGACAGCAGTGACTTCCCTTCATCTATGGGACAGATGAAGGGTGGCCTGTGGGTCACCACCAGCACACAGACTTCTTTCATTGGTCTGCCTGATTTTTTTAAAATTATTTTTTAAATTTTATTTATTTATTCATGAGAGTACACACACACAGAGAGAGAGAGAGAGAGAGAGAGAGAGAGAGAGAGAGAGGCAGAGACACAGGCAGAGGGAGAAGCAGGCTCCATGCAGGGAGCCTGACGTGGGACTCGATCCCGGGTCTCCAGGATCGGGCCCTGGGCTGAAGGCGGCGCCAAACCTCTGAGCCACCTGGGCTGCCCTGATTTTTTTTTAAAAAGGTTTTATTTATTTATTCATGAGACACACACACACACACACACACACACACACACCACACACAGAAACAGAGACACAGGCAGAGGGACAAGCAGGCTCCCCGTGGGGACCCTGATGCGGGACTCAATCCTAGGACCCCGGGATCACACCCTGAGCCAAAGGCAGATGTTCAACCGATGAGGCACCCAGGCATCCCAGTCTGTCTGAATTTTGTAAAAATTGGAAAATGTCACACGAAAATTCAGGCTTCTCTTGAAAACCTAGAGGCTCTAGCAACACTGAGCCTGCATCCCAATTTGGCAGGAGTGGCTGGGACCGATGGTGGCTGCCAATTTCAGACCGAGCATCACTTCCAAGTTTGTCACGATCCCCACCTCTTCCTACCGCCTCCCCGCTTCTTTACTTGCTTATATTAAAGGTCTGGCCTCACTGGGCATTCAGGTTTGTGGTCCTCATCTATATTATGAGCCCTGCGGTATAGGGTGGGTGGTGGGTGGTGGGCGGTGGGGATGAGGCTTATACTGGTGCATGGGTGGCTGTGCATATATTTCTCCTTGCAGATAGCAACGATCTTTCCTGCCAGGTGGGGCCCCTGCCCCTGTCTGCAAACCCCACTTGCAAGGGGGCACCTCGATGAGGGGAATGGGCTCCTCAGATTGCTGAGTGTGTGACTTTTACTGCTCATAGGAAACTTGGAGTCATGTGCATCTCGCTGTAATGAGAAATTCAACCGGGACGCTGCCTGCCAGTGTGACCGCCGGTGTCACCGGCATGGGGACTGCTGTGAGGACTATGAGCACCTGTGCAGTGGTGAGGCTCCTCGTGGGGGAGAAGGGTCCAGGAGGCACAGCGGGCCAGGCCATGCCTATGGCCAGAGTGCCTGAAAGGACGCTGGCTTGGGTGTCCAGCAGCTTGGAGCAGGGTTCAAGCCTGGTGGTGGGGCTCAAGGGGCCCGACTGAGGACACTGAGGGCAGAGCAAAGGTCGGGGATTTGGCCAGGACTTGTCCCAGATACTCTAGGATGTCCCCAGTGTAAGACCCCAACTTACAAGGAAACGGATGTTATTTACCTGGAACATCTCTCTGAAGGGTCAGGATTAACGACACTATCTTGAAAGTTTAAGTAATTCCCCAAACAGCAAAATGATAATTAACCATAAAACATTAAGATAGCATGTATTACATTCCCCTTCTCGTTGTTCAACACTTTACGTTGCAACAGTGTAAAAATGGAGTCGAACTTTCCAGCTTGTGTGCCTCCAGGAAGACCGCACGGCGTCACAGGGACTGTTGTGATTCACACCACTCGTCCTAGAATGAGTGGACCGAGGCGGCTGCACCATCTCCAATCCGTCATTCCCCGTCCAGTGATTAAATGGCACACACGCTGCTCTCAAGAGCCCCTTGTTTCTCTGCTACTCCAACAACATAGTTTTAAAAAATAATTTTGAATAATCCCCTTGTTTGGAAGCTTCCAGCATGTTAGACCGCCAGATAAATGGTCTGCTTTGTGCCATGAAGCCTTGTGAAGTTCACTGTCAAACCATGTGCCCTGACCCTCAGTTTGCAAAACATGATCACTGACTGAAGCCACCGTGGGTAACGGCCAGCAAACCCACGGCATATGGTGGTGCAGGTTGTGCACTGCACAAGGGCACCTGTCGGAGAAGGCAAGTTGACCAAAATCGAATCTGTACCCTTCTTGCTGGTCCATGTGCCTTGGTAAAGAGCTGTGTCTGCTGAGAGAAAGGAGTACCTTTTTCCAATTTTCCCAAAGTGGGTACCTGCTGGCCCAGCCATGTGCCCACTGAGCTGCTTCCACCTCGAAGGAACCCCCATTCACTTTACACGAAAACACCATCTCTACTAGCTGAAATTTTGTTGGTCCGGCCCGGGTAGGGAAGCCCTGGTCCAGAGCTCAGGGCCAGAATCAGAGCCTGCCGCCTTCCCCCGCCCGGTGCCCGGCAGATCCAGGGGAGCCTGTGCGCCTCGGACCATCGGGCTGGCATCTCACGGCGCGGACAGCACTTAGCCAGGGGCCAGTCGGTCTCCAAGTCTGATTTGCAACTCAGAATCCTTTTCCGGCAGGAAAAATACAGCTGATGCTTGAGACTCTAAGTCAGCCCTTGAGAGTCTCGTTAGCGTGACATGGGCTGGGCTGAGGACCCCGTGGGTTGTCAGCACTCAGAACACGGCCTGGCACGAAGTCAGTGATCAGAAGAGGTTTGTTGGCTCGATGCATCATCTGACCCGTGGTTCTGATGATCCTAACAGGACACTCCCCGGAAAACTCACTAACAGCCTCTGAATCTCTTTGGAATTGTGTTGCTTCTTTGGGGGAAGTTCCCCCACTGCGTGAGGGAGAGGAGCCCAGAGTCCCCAGGAGCATCCTTCCTCCTCCTCTCCACCCACCCCGGGCCACAGTCAGGCCAAGGGGGCAGGGCAGCAATAGGAACCTGCTTTTCTGGGCACCCCCCGCCCCCCAGTCTCCACTGCCATTGCCAAGTGTTGTAAAGAAAGAAGGGAAGTCGGTATCGCAGGAAACAGTTCTTAGTCCCCGAGGGCCTGGGTGGAGTTCACCCTTGACTGGGACTGGGACTTATGGTAGGTAAGGGATGTTCCCTAAGGGACCTGTTCCTTAGTTCCCTAAGTCGCTGTCATTTGGAGATGCTCGAGCCTCTCCGTCTATCAACTTAGGTTGGAGAGAAGTCGTACCCACATGGGAGGTGTCAATCCAGAAGGCTCCACTTCCCACCCCCCCTCCCCTTTGTGCCACACTGGACACCAGAGCGTTTGAGGGGCAGGGAGAGTTGTCGCCTGGGCAAATTCTTTTATTTATTTATTTATTTATTTATTTATTTATTTATTTATTTATTTATTTATTTTTTATTTTTTTTGCCTGGGCAAATTCTTGTCACTTTTTAATGACAGCCTTCAATGGCCCATCCCGTCTGTCTTCCATCTTCAGTTTGTCTCCTTCGTCACTTGGTACTTACTCCTTGTGCCTTAGCCTCTGTTTTGTGTCTCCTGCCCCTGCACTGCTTGTCCTGGAGGGGAAGGGAAGGAACCCCCCTCTCCGCCCTCTGGGGGTGGGGGGCCTGGGATGGTGGCGGCCAGTGACTCTACTTCCATGACCTCCAGTGGAAGAGGACCCCAAGGAGCCCGAGCCATTCCTGGAGCTGGAGGAAGAGATGTTGGAGGCCCCCCCTGGCCGTGAGTCTGCCTTTCTAAAGGGGGGGGCTTCAGGCTAAAAGAAGGGGTGACCCAGAGGTGCAGCCACCCTGGTGGCAGCAGGCGCAGGCCTAAGCCAGGCGGACCCTAAAGGCAGCGCGGGGCGGTGTAAGAGGCCATGCCAGGCAGCTGGGGGGGGGGGCGGCGGGGGTAGGCAGGAAAGGGCGTCCGGGCCTCTGGAGGGAAGTGGAAGAGCTTTTATTTTTAGAGTGGGAAACTTTGCAAAACAACAGGCCCCAAAGTAGCGTTTGGCCTCTCGGAAAGGGCTTCCTGACCCAGAAGGGTGTGCACCAGTTCAGCTTGTTTGTTTTCCTTCCCCGGAGATCTTGCACAGGAGCGGGGAGGGAGTGAGGCTGGGGGAGGGGGGGTGCTGGAGGCCCCCCCCCCCCACGGCCGGCCAGGCGACCTCTAGGGGTCTGCCCCGGACTCACGGCTCCCTGTCGTCCCAGACTTGTACTCGGCACCCAGCTCCTGCCAGGCCCGCTGCCACGAGGCCTTCGACAGGCACCAGCCCTGCCACTGCGATGCCCGCTGCCCAGAGTTTGGGAACTGCTGCCAGGACTTCGAGGGCCTCTGTGGCCACCACGGTCAGTCTCCCGCTCCCTTTAGCGCAGCCCCCGAGACGGAGGAGCTCTCCGGGGCAATGACGGTTCTCCAGGTGGGGCCCCTGGAGCCGCAGCAACTGTATCATCTGGGAATGTATTAGAAAGGGAGACCCCAGGGCTTCACCCCACACCTACTGAATCAGAAACGCTGGGGGTGGGCCCACTGCCCTGCTTTGGCAAGCCCTCCAGGTCACTCGGGGGCATGCCAGTCTGAGAAGCTTCCAGGAGGAGGGGGCAGTGTGGCCACTCTGGGCAAGGCCACGTGCCGCTTTTAGGTATCCTCTAGGTGCTAGGCCCCTGGCCTCCGACCCCTAGGGTGACGGATTGCGGCCCCTCTGCCTGGCTGCCGGCTTCTGGAAGGTGCCCAGAGGAGGGGGCACACGGAGGCCCCCACGGCCCCAGGCCTTCCTGAGGCTGAGACAGCCCCCCCAATTCCTCCCAGAGGGCTTCTCCTACAGCAGTGATGCCATAACCAAGGAGGAGCTCCAGAGCATCTCTGAGAAGATCTACAGGGCGGACGTCAACAAAGCCCAGAAGCAAGACATCATTCTCAACAGCCAAAACCGCATCTTGCCCTCGGAGACCAGAGACCAAGTGGACCGCTGCCCGGAACCGTGAGTCCCCTTCAGTCGTCCTGCGCGGTGGCCCCACCACTGCCACCCCAGGCCCCCCCACCTTTGCTTCTTTCCACCCTGGCACTTTTCCCCTCAGGGCAGGCAGGATGGAAGGCAGAGAGAAAAACAGGTCCCCAGAGACAAATAAAGCCATTTTGAGGGCCTGTGGGCGTCCAGCTGGGAGGGTTTCCGTGATTGACGGGCCTCCCAAGGGCTGAAGCGGAAGAAGCTTCGAGAGTGTCTCAAGTCCCCGCTGTGTTCGCATGCCTGCCCCGGCCTGTCTGGCGGCCCCGGGTGGGGTGGGGGCCCCGCTCCATGCTCACCGTCCCATTGGGCCTCCCTCCGCCTCCCGCAGGCTCTTCACGTATGTCAACGAGAAGCTGTTTTCCAAGCCGACCTACGCGGCCTTCATCAACCTCCTCAACAACTACCAGCCGGCCACGGGCCGCGGGGAGCGCTTCAGCGCGCAGCAGCTGGCCGAGCAGGAAGCCTTCCTCAGGGCGGTCATGAGGACTGCGGTCATGAAGGAACTGTACGGCTTCCTCCGCCAGCAGAGTGAGTGAGCCCCCCGGGCCCCACGGGCAGGGCTGAGGCCCGGGCTGGCCTGGGGAGGGCCTGGTGGCCAGTGGCCGACCGGGAGGGGCCCAGAGAGGAGCCCAGGCCAGGCCCCGGGCCTCTCGCCTCTCTTTTGATGGACCCGGAGCTGCGTCCTTTGTCCCCACCACTCGCCGCTTCAGTCTCAGGGCCTCTGCAAGAGGGGGAGTCACCCCACGCCACCCCACCGAGGCTGATCCCAGAGGCGGCACTCTTCCTGGTGGGGGGGCCCGCAGGGTCCCTAAGCCTCTCCCCCCACCCCCGCTCCGGGGCCAGGAAGGATGTTGACTCTCTCCACATCTTTGCTGGGGAAGCAGCAACAGAAAATCACCAAGAGTTCTGAGAGGGGACGTTCTCCCGGGAGGGGCTGTGGCTCGAGTGGCTCCAGATAGGGAGACATTTGAACCAGACCAAAAAGGGTTTGAGGCGCAGGACTTTCTGGCAGGAGGTTGTGCTGGTCAGTGTGCAGGTCCTCTCCTCCACGCCAGGGGCCGGGCCTATGGGCAGCTCTGTCCAGGCCTCTGCCCGGGCTCAGGGTGGCTGGTCCCACCTGCCTGCCGTCCCTGTAGAGTGAGGCCCAGGGAGGTTGGCAGGTAAAGCTGGGGACACGCGGGCAGCCCCTGTGAAGAGGGCGCGATCCAGCACCGCCCCCTGCTGCTCCTCTGCAGCAAACACAAGACACAACTTGGAGGCCAAGCAGGCCCGCCAGCTTTTCAGGGAGCAGCAGCAACCCCCTCCCCTCACCCCCCAGGCTAGGTGACTTGTCTGAGATGAGGCACCCTGGGATCGATCCCATACTGGGGCCAGGCTGTTCCATTATGTATCCTGCCCTCACCCCTCTCCCTGGCCAAATCCAGACTGTCCTTCAAGCTCTAGCTCACATCCCGCGTTGCTGAAGCTGCACCTGCCCCAGCGCACCACTGGCTTCCAGCGTGTCCTCAGAAGTCGGGGGGAGGGGGGGCGGAGGGGGGGGGCAGCTCCAAATAGCCTTGGGCCACGGAGACTCTACTACCACTTGTTGGTGGTGTGACCCTGGGCAAATTAGCTTACCTGTCGGAGCCTTATCTGTGAAACGGGGTCTTGGCGGGTTAATGCACATGAAGGGCTCAGTGCAAGGACTAGCACCGGGTCAGTGGTAGCCATCTGGAGGGTGAAACCATTGTCTGCTATGTTGTGTACATTTTGTCTTGTTTTCTGACCCTGTTTTAAGTCCTTGAGAGGATGGAATGTGTCTGGTATCTCCTTGGTATCCTCCACCCACGATTCTGAGTAGCAGTTGGTACCTTGTGGCTCCCTAAGTTAGAGCTCCGGCCCCGACTTTCTCATGGGTCCCACCTGCCTCTCCACCTCCCGTGGGTCTCTCATGCATCTACTCAGAACTTAGTGGGAAGAGGGCAGCCCGGGTGGCTCAGCGGTTTAGCGCTGCCTTCAGCCCAGGGCGTGATCCTAGAGACCCGGGATCGAGTCCCACGTCGGGCTCCCTGCATGGAGCCTGCTTCTCCCTCTACCTGTGTCTCTGCCTCCCTCTCTCTGTGTTTCTAATGAATAAATAAAATCTTAAAAAAAAAAAAAAGAACTTAGTGGGAAGAGAACTCATGGTTCCCACCCCTCCTTCCTTGGTCTTTCTCATCCCATCAACGACACCACAGTCCATCATCCCATTGCTCAGGCCTGAACCCAGGAGTTATATTCGATTCTTCTCTGCCTCACGGCTCCCCGCCTCCTGTTCCTCCATCAGGAATGTCCATCGCACCCTCCTTCAAAATCTACCCCCAGTCCGCCCACTTCTCAGCCCTCCTCCACGGCTGCCACCACTGCTTCTGGCCTGGACGACGCGTTAGCCTCAAAACTGGTCTCTCTGCTGCTCGTACGCCCCACTGACTTTTTATATACACAACCAGAGTGGGCCTTTAAAAACAAAGCAATCACATAATTCCCCTGCTTAAAACCCTTCGGCGGCTTTCTCGCCTCCAAGAAGCTGTAAAGTCCTTCAGAGACAGTTGACATGTGTAATGGTCACGTGGGCTCAAGTGCCGTTTCTACCTCTTATCGACCCTGTGATCTAGTGGGAGTTACACAACCCCAGTTGGCCTCAATTTCCTCATTTCTAAATTGGGGGTAATTAGCACCCACCCTATGTGAAGATTCAATGTGAGGACTGGAAACACTTAACATAGTTTGGGCCCATAGAACGTGGTTAGCAATTCGAAACTCTTTTTGAATTATTACTTTGTGACTGACACCCATCCTTCTTGGCATGGCTTGCCAGGCCTGATCGCTCCTACCTCTCCGACCTCCTGTCCTTCCTCTCCTCCCTGCATTCACTGTGCTCCAGCCACCCTGGCTTTCCCTTAGCTCTTTGAACGTGAGGCCCAGGTGGTCTTAGAGTCTTGCTCCTGCTGTTCCCTCTACGTGGAAGAAACTTTCCCCCGATGTTGTGTGGCCTATCCCTTACCCTTCAGGTCTCTGATCTGTGCTACCTTCTCAGAGAGGTCTTTTTGATCTTCCTTTCTAGAAGAACTCCCCAACACAACCCACCTCTAGTCATCATGGGGTACCCTGCTTTCTTTCTTTCATAGCGCTTATCTGCAATCATATTGTTTATTAGCTGTCTCTTCCGCTGGGAGGGAAACTGTGAAAGCAGGGATCCTGTCCTTGCTATTCCCTGTTGAATCCTCAGCCTGTAGATCTGGCTTGGCACAAAACAGGGGCACTGTGCATAGTTATTGAAAGGACAGTTTTTTAAAAAAGATTTTATTTGTTTATTCATGAGAGACATGGAGAGAGAGGCAGAGACACAGGCAGAGGGAGAAGCAGGCTCCCTGCGTGGAGCCTGATATGGGATTCGATCCCAGGACCCCAGGATCATGACCTGAGCCGAAGGCAGACGCTTAACCACGGAGCCACCCAGGCACCCCACTGAATACATTTTTGGTTGAAACCCTGTGTCTCTTGATGTGCTAGAGCAGGTGGCCCTTCCCTGCTTCCTGAAACCTGGTCCCGCATTCCCCTCTCTTAAGTCCTCTATGTTCCTCCCCGCAGATCGCTATAGCTTAGAACAGGAGTTTGTCAACGACTTGAAGAACATGTGGTTTGGGCTCTATTCAAGAAGCAATGAAGAGGAGGACTCAAGTGGCTTTGAACACGTCTTCTCAGGTGGGATCATTCTGCTTGGAAAGAAAGAGTTGGAGGAATGAAGAGAGACAGCTTCCCTCAGGAGTAGGGCAGCATCAGGCACCGATGAATCGGCTGCCAAGCAGCTAGCAGGGACAGGCATGTCCACTCCCAAGCCAAGAGGAAGGGGTCTGAGCAGCTGTTTTTGAGGAACTGTCGTTTCTGGAGTTTCTGAAGGGGAAAGGAGACCAGATGCTGGGGCTCCCAAAGGATACACATAGGAAGAAAAATGTGTTTGGGGGTGTGGCTCTCTACTTCTGCATGGTCCTCTGGGCTATGGGCATTCTATGAGCCATAGTCCGAGGAAGGCGGACAGCCTTGGTATGGGAGGGGCAAAAGGTGTTGGAGGGGAGGCCCATATCACCCACCTTGAACTCTTTATTATAGGTGAAATCAAAAAAGGCAAAGTCACCGGCTTCCATAACTGGATCCGCTTCTACATGCAGGAGAAGGAGGGCCTGGTTGACTATTACAGTCACATCTACGATGGCCCTGTGAGTACGGAGTGTGGACCCCGTGGGCTGGAGAAGCCTTATTGGTACCCAGACTTCCTGCCCTCACTCTGCACTCTGAACAGCCACACTTGCCTCTCACCCTGACTCTTGTTGGCCGCCTAGTGGGGATTGTGAGGATGACTCCCCTATCTGCTAGAGTTTAGGCAGCCAGGACCCGAGATTCCCTTCCAAACAGTGAATGCTCCAGAGCTGCAGAGAGCAGGAGGCAGAGAACACCGTCTCTGGATGGGAGGCTCGGGGCAGGGGAGGACTCTCAGATGGGAAGACGAGTCTCACAGATGTGTAGTTACCCGCTGCATGAATTTCTTTAGAATGTGGCCTTGGCTAGTCTGAGTTCAACTCCATTTATTTTATTTAAAAACAAAAGAGAGAGACCTTTGCTGCCCTGTGCCAAGAAATAATTTGGGGACAATAAATTGTCCCTCTCCTCCACATGTGATAGCCACAAGAAACAGTTATGGTTTCTGCTGCCCTGGTACCAGTGACAGGAGTGCTGGCTCTGGCCTCTCAGGGAGATGCACGCTGGCAGCTCCAGACAGAGGATCCAAGTCACACTCAGACACCTTAGCAGGGCAGACTGTTCCCTTGGTCGATGTCACAAATCCAGCTTCCCCAGAAAACTCACACAAGCACCTAATGGGCCCTCACCAAATCTTGGCCAACTGCTACCATTTGCCACCTCTCTCCTCGTGATATTCAACAGGCCCCTGTTACTACCTTCCACAGTGGGATTCATACCCCGACGTGCTTGCCATGCAGTTCAACTGGGATGGCTACTATAAGGAAGTGGGCTCAGCTTTCATTGGCAGCAGCCCTGAGTTTGAACTTGCGCTCTACTCCCTGTGCTTCATTGCCAGGCCAGGAAAAGTGTAAGTACTGGGCCAGCCAGGCTTGGGGAGCAGGCTGGGGCCACATGCTGTTTGCAGCCAGGACAGTTGGGAGAGCCAGATTCTGCAACTCATTGGCTTGGACAAATCACCCTTCTGGACATCAGTTTTCTCACTTGGGAGATGAAGTTGTTAGATAAGACTGTGGTTGTCAAACTTTATTTAGCAGCAAAACCACATGAAATCTTGTACAGAACCTTCATAGATGAAACAGTTAGAAATGGAGTCGCCTTGGGGCTCCAAGCCTCTCTGTTTGGTCTCCAAGGCTGAGAGGGGGATCCCAAAAGCCCCAGAGAGTATAACTTGAAACCACTGGGCTTCACCTTCTAATATTTGAGGACTTTGGGTCCTACTACCTCTGAGACCCTGAGCAGACATTTAATTTCTGGGCATTCAGCTCTAGAATCTGAGATTTTAGAATACTGGTCTGGGAAAGATGAGGAGCAATGTTCTTTAGGAAGCTAGAGAATAAGGCATAGATTTTGAAGGGCTGCCTGGGCATGGGGAGTGGGAGACAATGGCTGGAGAAAGCTGTGATGGTTCTCTTGGGGGCTGTTCAAGTCAGGGTGGAGCCCTTCTACATGGGTTGGGCTTAATCTTCCCAGTCAGGAGATGGGCATGGAAGGACACGGTGGGCCCCTATGACTTGGCCATCTTTCCCCACAGGTGCCAGTTAAGCCTGGGTGGATATCCCTTGGCCATCCAGACCTATCCCTGGGACAAGTCCACCTATGGAAATGGCAAGAAATACATCGCCACTGCCTATGTGGTGTCTTCTACCCAATAGAGCTTGGAGCCAGCTAGGGGCATGAGGGCAGTGAAAGTTCTTGCAGGACTCAGGTGCTATCTGCTCTGGGCTGGAGGAGGATGGAGGAGACTGGAGGCATTCCCAAGTTTAGAAATGCCCTTAGAATTGAGAGAAAAGACACAAAAAAGAAAAATGCAAACAAACACTCAAATCTTTGTGCTCCAGCATTTTGAAAATAGAGTCTACACAGAGAAGATGGGAGCCTTCTGTAGCCCTTTGCCCAGATGGGAAGTGAAACCATGGACGAGTCCTCATATTTCCTTTTAATGTAAAGGGAAGCGGTGGGCTCTCTTTCCTCTTTTTTGGAGTTGGTGAGAGGGCAAACCTGATGATATCGTTACTGTGAAGGTGTTTTCAATTGTTCTTAAGAAGAACAGCAGATAAAAATTCAAGGTTACTATAATGGCTGTTATCATACACAGCTCTGCAAACTGCAATTCAGCCCTGTGTTGGGGCCTCAAAGAACTCCGGTCATGGAAATCAAGCAGTGGGTATTTGGTGTTTTCTAGGGTTATATCCTCTCAGAACAGGGTCTGGGAAAATTCTCATGCTTGATGGAGAGGATAATGGGTTGACACAGTGAGTGAACTTGGGAGGGAGTGAACTTCTCCAGGCCTGAGTGTTTTTGCGGCCAGCCCAATGACTGCATCAAGAAGCTTCCTACTTGTAGATGTTTAGTGCAGGTACAGAGGTATATTTTGATCCCACATATTTTGTGAAAGAGTTCCCCAAATAGGAGGAACATTTTGCATCAGAAGGAAGGAACTTATAGCTTGGTGACGTTAACAATTACTTTAAGGCTTATCCAGAAGTCATAATTTGGTGGAATTACTTTGGAGTTAAAGACCAGGGAGAGTGGGGTTCCCTGTTCCAACCTCAATTATGCATTTCTCCTCCCCTGACCTCAGGGAGAACTAGATGCTGTCCCACAGAACTAGGCTGGAACTATGGTTTACAGAGATTGAGTCTCCAATTAAAGTCATTAAGAAAAGTTGAAATCTGTCTCCTTTTTGTATATGACCCCCCTCAACTGTCTCCCTCCGTCTCTGCCGTTTTCCTGGAGCTGAGAGTGATGCTGCTGGCTTCAGTGTCTCTTCAGGATGGTGTGGAGAATGTGGTATCTCAAAGTCCCTGAGGACTCATCAAGTCTCTCTAGCCAAGAGGGAAAGAGAATTCTTCCTGGCAGATTTGTAATGTGAAGAACAGCAGTGTACTTATGGCTTCTGGCTCCACATATAAGGAGCTTGGAAGTCACTATTCCACCCTAACAACAAGTAAAAAACTGAACAGATTGAAAAATCAACAACTCTTCTTCAATCTGTAAGAGAGGAGAGGATGCAGGCAAACCAATCAAAGGTTTGGAAAGTTAGGCAAACCTCAGGGTTGGGAAAGTTAGGCAAATATAGATTGGAATAACCTTGGAAAGATAAGCTTGAGAGCAGAGACTCTCATACAGAAAAATATTGCAGAAACCAGTGCCAGGATGGGAGAATCTGAACTGCAGTTGATGAATTGCCTGAAGGAGAGACAGTGCAGACTACTCTGAGTTAAAAACTCCAGGGCATCCAGGCATCTCACAGTATTGTGAAATTTATCTCCAGGAGCTCCACAAGGCTCCCATAATGTGTATCAGAGAAAAACTTTCTTGGACTTCTGGCATAGGGAGGAGAAGTGGAACCATTCTGAAATAGCCAGAGCACTCTGTCATTCTGAACAAAGCCTGCCCTTGGGGGAAATTTGTTAGCTGGTGGCTAACCTGCTGGAATATTATCAGAGCCTAACTGATCTGGGGAAGGGAAATACCCAGCTCCACCGATGTTAGCCATCCTCTTCTACTCAAAAAGGGCAAAAAGCTGAAAAACACTTGTGAAGTTCACAGTCCAGAGGCATAGCTCAGTAAAAGACTGAGACAAAATCACAGGACTGTAGAATGCTCCCTGCCCCCCACATTACCAAAGGCCTATGTACCAAGATTGGCGATCAAGAAAAAATTACAAAGCATATCAAAAGGTAAAATAACACAATTTGAAGAGATAGAGCAAACATCAGAAACAGACATGGCAAGGATGTTGGAGTTATTGGGGAATTTAAAGCAACTATGATTAATATGCTAAGGGCTATAATGAACAAAGTAGATAGCATGAAACAACTGATGGTGCGATGTAGGCAGAGGGATGGAAATCCTAAGAAAGAACCAAAAAGGAATGCTAGAGATGAAAACACTGTAACAAAAATGAAGAATACCTTTGATGGGCTTATTAGTAGACTAGAAACATTTGAAGAGAGAATCTCTGAGCTAGAGGATATCTCAATAGAATCTTCAAAAGCCAACAAACAAAGAGAATAAAGAGCAAAAAACAACCAAAACATAATATCCAAGAACTGTGGGACAACTACAAAAGGTGTTATATACACATAATGAGAATGCCAGGAGAAGAAAGTGAGAAAGGAACAGAAAAAAGATTTGAAATAATAATGACTGAGAATTTCCCCAAATTTATGTCAGACATCAAACCAGAGATCCAAGAAGTTCAGAAAACACTAAGCAAAATAAATGTCAAACAACCCACTATATTTTGACATATCATTTTCAAATTATAGAAAATCAAAGATATGGGCAGCCCCAGTGGTGCAGCGGTTTGGCGCTGCCTGCAGCCCAGGGCGTGATCCTGGAGACCCTGGATCGAGTCCCATGTCGGGCTCCTTGCATGGAGTCTGCTTCTCCTCCTGCCTGTGTCTCTGCCTCTCGTTCTCTCTCTCTCTGTATCTCTATGAATAAATAAGTAAAATCTTAAAAAAAAAAGAAAAAAGAAAATCAAAGATAAAGAATATTTGCGAGAAGCCAGAGGGCAAAAAAGAATCTTACCTACAGAGGAATGAAGATAAGAAATACATCTGACTTATCCTCAGAAATCATGCAAGCAAGAAGAGAATGGCATGCAATATTTAAAATGTTGAGAGAAGGCACCTGAGTGACTCAGCTGCATAAGTGTCCAACTCTCGATTTTAGCTCAGGTCATGATCTCAGGGTCATGAGATTGAGCCCTGTGTTGGGTTTGTGCTCAGCATGGATTCTGCTTAAGATTCTCTCTCTCTCTCTCTCTCCCTCAGCCCCTCCCCTTGCTTGTGCATGCTCTCTGTACCTCTAAATAAATAAATAAATAAATAAATAAATAAATAAATAATAAAAGCTTTAAAAAATATTGAGAGAAAAAAACCCCACTAACCTAGAATTCTGTACCCTGAAAAATGATCCTTCAAAAGGGAAGGACAAATAAAGATTTTCTCAAATAAAAATTCAGGGAATTTGTTGCCAGTCAATCTACCTTGCAAGAAATTTTCAAAGAAGTTCCTCAGAGAGAAGGAAAATGACATAGATCAGAAAGTCAGATCTGCCTAAAGAAAAAAGACTATCAAAGAAGTAAAAAGTGAAGGTAAAATAAAAACTTATTTTCTCATTACTAATTGATTTGACAGACAACAGTTGTTCAAAATAACAGCAATAATGTGTTCAATTATATATATTATGTATATATACACACAGGTATTTATGTATACTTGTATACACATGTGTATTATGGACATATACATACATATTCATCCTCATATTTAAGTGAAATGAATAGCAGGTACAAGGGAGGAGAGGAAGGAATTAGTATAATTTTGTTACTATAAGGTACTCACATTACCCATGATGTGATATAGTGTTTTTTGAAAGTGGACATGGATTAATTTTGTAAGTGTATGTTGCAAACTCTAGGACAATCACTAAAAAAAGTTAAAAGTATAATGGGTTTGCTAATAAAGGAGGAAAAAAAGGAATCATATGAAATGCTGACTTAAAAGCATAAAAGCCAGAAAAAGAATGGAAGACAAAAATAGGAACAAAGACCTAGGGGAACAAAGAGAAAACAGTAATGAGTATGGCAGATATTAATTCAACTATATCAATAGCTACTTTGAACGTCAATGGTCTAAATGCAACAAGTAAAAGATTTCATAGTGGATCACAAAACAAGAACCAACTATAAGTTGTCTATGAGAAACCCACTTTAATTATAAAGACACATGTAGATGAGAAATAAATGAATAGAGAAAAATACAACATGCTAGCACTAATCAAAAAGAAAGCAGGCATAGCTATGTTAATTCCAGACAGACCAGACTTAAAAGTAAGGAATGTTATCAGGAAAAAAGAAGGGCATTACATACTGTTAAAGGAGTCAACCCCATGTCTTCTTGATGTATGCATATAACAACAGAGCATAAAACTACATGAGGCAAAAACTGATAAAACAGAAAGAAGAAATAGATGAATCCGCTACCATAGTTGGAGGTGCCAAAGCCTTTTCTCAGAAACAGACAGAGCTGGTAGGCAGAAAATCAGTTAAGGATACAGTTAAACTCAGCCACACTATCAATCAACTGAATATAATAGACATCTATAGACTACTTCATCCAGAAGATAAAAATGTACATTTTTCTCAAATTCATATGGATCATTCACCAAGATAGACCACACTCTGGGCCACAAAATACCTCTTAACAAATTCAAAACAATAGAATCCCACAATGTCTGCTCTCAGCTTACAATGGAATTAAACTAGACATCAATAACAAAAGATAACTGGAAAACCGTAAAATACATGGACATTAAACAACACACTTTCTAAATAACACGAGTCAAGGAAAAAAACTCAAGATAAATATTAATATATTTTGAACTAAATAAAAATACAACTTATCAAAATTTGTGAGATATAGTGCTTAGAGGAAACCTTATGGCATTGAATGCATATAATAGAAAAGGAGAGAGATCTAAAATCAATCATCTAAGGTTCTACCTTCGGAAACTAGAAAAAGCAGAGAAAAATAAAACCAAAGTAGAGGAAAAGAAATAATAAGAATTAGAGCAGAAATCAATGAAACTAAAAGCTTGTTCTTTGAAAAGTTGATAAGCCTCTAGCCAGGCTATTTAAGAAACAAATAAAAATGAAAGAGGAATAATACCGCAGACTCTATGAAAGTTAAAAAGATAATAAAGAAAAGCTATGAACAACTTTATGCTCGTAAATTTAATAACCTAGGTGAAATGAATGAATTCCTTGAAAAACACAAGAGGAAATAGATGATCTGAATAGATGATCTATTAAAGAAATAAGTAATATTAATAACCTTCCAAAAGAGAAAACACCAGGCCCAGATGGGTTCCCTAGTAAATTCTATAAAATAGCTAAGGAAGAAATTTATCCAATTTTCTACAATCTATTTCAGAGGATAGAAAAAGAGGGAATGCTTCTTAACTCATTCTGTGAGGTCAACATTATGCTAATATCAAAACCAAACAAAGGCATTTCAAGAAACTGCAGACCAATATATCTCATGAACATAGATATAAAAATCCTCGATCAAATATTAGTAAATAGAATCCAGAAAATTCTAAAAGGAATTGTATGCCACAGCCAAGTGGGGTTTTTACCAGGTATGCAAAGTTGGTTCACATTCAAAAATCAATTAATATAATCTAGCGCATCAACAGACTAAAAAAGAAAACTGTATATCAACAGATGCAGAGAAAGGCATGACAAAATCCAACACCCATTCATAATGAAAACTTTCAGTAAACTAGGAATAGAAGGAAACTTTCTCAGTTTGATTAAAAATAATCTGCAAAAAACCTGCAGCTAACATACTTAATACTGAGAAACTTGAAGGTTTCCCACTAAAATCAGGTACCAGAAAAAAAAAAAAATAAAATCAGGTACCAGGCAAAAATGTCCCCTTTCACTACTCTTTTTTTTCCTTTTTTTTTTTTTTTAAGATTTTATTTGTTTATTCATGAGAGAGAGAGAGAGAGAGGAGAGAGGCAGAGACACAGGCAGAGGGAGAAGCAGGCTCCATGCAGGGAGCCTGACATGGGACTCGATCCTGGGCCTCCAGGATCATGCCCTGGGCCTAAGGCAGTGCTAAACCCACTGAGCCACCCAGGCTGCCCTCA